AATTTGTTCATTCTAATCGCTCTACACTGATATATAGGTTTTAAGATCTAGTGAAAAATCAATACTAAATAAATAGTGAAGAATCAATTTACCAATGTATCTCAATACTATTAGTTTAACAAATATAAAATTAAGGCTGAAACAACGTTACATAATCGTTTACTTATTACAAGTGATTACTTAAGAACAAGAATAGCAGTTGAGTAAGATTGAAATCGAAATATGAACATTTGACGTTGTTTTTAGAAATAATAATGAGTAATTAGTAAGACAGATGTAAAAATAATATTAGATTACTAAATTACTTAAATAGATTATGCTACAAATAAGATGGGTAATAAAAGTTAAAACGAACATCACTGAGAATGGTGACAGTATGTTAGTGATCAAACTCTAATGTGATGTTGAGGAGTCCCATACTACGACGAAACGGCCGTCCAGTACTTCCAGGTTTTCCATGGAGGTGGTCTAGCTTTAATTGACTCATGAGTTCAAGTACTAAATTACTACAATCTCCACAAAACCCCCTTCCTGATTATTCTGAATTACAAATAAAATATAAAACACACTATTGACAAATGTACCATAACCACCTTACATTTTGTAATTTGAAAATAATAGATGTATCTGAAAAATATTCCAATACAGTCTAGAATGTTCCTGTGTCTAATATCTAAATTAACATAAAAGATCTATGCTATTCGACTATCATGTTCAAAAGATTTAATTCAGGAAAGGGATTGTTATTCATTAGTATTTATCATACAATAATCATTTCATCGAATGGAGGAATCGCGTAGAACAGTTTATATATCAAAGAAATAAACTGAAAATAATCAATATTCTTTATTCACTGTTTATCAACTGACAATAACAAATTGTTTACTTTAATTATCTGAGTTATAAATTTATAAGAATCTGTGAAATTCATTATTTTCTTTAACCTTTATTTCAAACAACAGAAGCTAACACCAGTAATAGATTGTTATTTAAGATGATCATTTACATATAATGTATACTATAGCAGATTACACACATTTGAGTTTGTTTACATTTAATTTGGTTACGCATTCTCATTAATTTATTTAACAGAGTCACACGTACAAAAACAACAACAAAAACTTATTTATACCATTGTACTTCTATTATTGTTGCGCCTGTATGAACACGTATGCTTGAGCATCGCTTACCGACTAAGCACATATTCATTCTACTAGCTTTAGTGTTAGTCGCTTAAATGATCCGATGACTTATTCATTTTTTATATGTACATATGTGTACATTTTAATAATGTTCATTGACTCACTAGCTCACTTGTTCGCCTGCTCTTCGGCACTCGCATATCATTCTTGATTCGCGTGCCTGTGGTTTTGGTGATCTGTGTGTGGTGCAACAATAAACGTAATGAATGCTTCATATTCGTCCTCTGATTTATACACCGTCGGGCGGTTATCAGGACGAATACCGACTGCCACAATTCTTATAAGAAAATTATGGAAAAACAGTGTGAAAAAAATTACAAATCATAACATCTGAAACATGTTTATCAAAATAGTAAGAGATATGTCGTTAATTAGTTAATTGTTATTTATAAATGGGAAAAGGTACCATATACACTAAGAAAGTTTGTGATTTATTAAGTCTACAATTTAAACTGATATGTTATTCTAAAATTTGCTGAAAACTGAAATATATGAATATACACACTTTCCAAAAGCATAACTAACAAGCCTAATCCAACAGTTTCCGTTTGGATTGTATTAACATTATGTACTAATAAATAATCTATGAATTAGAGAATATATATGGTGTGTTGTACGCTACTTATGCGGACAGATATAAGTAGTGTTTAGTAGGAATTGGAGTTAAAATGTTAACCAGAAGAAAACTGAAATAGAGAGAAGAGGATGGAAAGAAGAGAGCTATCGGAATAGCAACAGGATTGAGAGGATGATGGAGTACAAATAATGTATTTAATGTATCTACTTCATATTCTACAAATGCATTGTGTGCTTTTGTATAAAATAATAAACTGGTTTACCGTATTTGAGTTTCCGTCCACTACGATAGCACTTTTAAACATTACTTTATTCATCCAATTAAATTATATATACATATGTCAGTAGGTGTAGTGAGTAACATTTTTAAGTGATGCACAGATTATTGTGAATCCGTAAATGTCAAATAAGCACAATTATACTACGATTTATTGAGGTCAAACATTTAGATGAACCTGTCTGTGAGTGTTCTCTTTTAAACTCAAAATTTGTGTGTAATCATACCACTTTTTTATGGTATACCTGTCAATTGTCTAATTATTGGTTTCAGAAGTATTTATGGATATTTTCTTCTCGTATTTAAATAACATTCAATTTGAGTCATTCTCATATTCTGGTTTCTCTTTCAGATAAAGTCAGATAGTTGAATGTGTATATTCAATAACTGGATAAATGATGTTTTCATATGAAATAAAAACGTTCACAATACGATCTCATCATTCTATTCAAATGAAAAGGTTAATATTGAATTGTTTGCTAATTTTGTCAGTCCTCATGCTGTATTGTCTACTATATTCGTTCATTGGAGTCAGCAATGATTTAAATCAGTTTCAGGCAGAAAAATACAGTGAAGTTAAAAGAATTTGTGAATATTTGCTCACAACCAAAGGTGTGAATCCCAATAATGGAGTTTTTGAAAGTATTCAGTCAAATCCGGACCAAAGCTCTGTATTTATCAAATCCTCAAAAATGTGAAGAGTTTAAATTGTTCCATGGTCATGTCATTCAATCCTCAATTGAAGAAAAACTATTTCCTTTAGCATTCAGTTTATCTGTTCATCAAAACATTAAACAAGTATCACGTCTACTTCGACTGATATACAGACCACATAATTTGTATTGTATTCATGTAGATTCTAAATCCCCAATTGAATTTTATGATCAAGTGTTAGAGTTGGCCCGATGTTTTGGTTTAAATGTTATGGTGTTGAACCGGACAGAAAGTATAAATATTCAGTGGGGATATTATTCCTTACTTGAAGCGTTTCTTGTATGTGCGGACAAATTAATGAAAAACACAGACTATATGTGGAAATATCTATTGAATTTGAGTGGACAAGAATTACCTTTGAGGACAAACTGGGAGTTGGTTGCAGCATTGAAAGCAATAAACGGATCAAATGTCGTTGAAGGCTTAGGTCCAAATTTCTACCCTTGGCGTTGGCCTAAAAAGAATTTCTCATTTCCTGTAAGTTTCATAGTTAATATGATCTTGATAATGATTTTCTCTATTGGGAATTCATATAATAATAAAGTAAATACAGTTATGAACCATGCGTTGCATGTCTAGTTGGGGCAACCATAAAGAAGCCTTTATCATGATAAATCAAACTTGTAGAATTACAGTAAATGTAAATATGATTAAAATAGACAATATACAACATCTGTGTAATCAGATCTATGTTAACAGAAGTAACATAACAATTTGTAAAACAGTCTGAAATAAAACTACAATATTGAATCTACACATATACCTCTTGTATTTTCGAAGCTATTTTTTATAAATGCTTTTGATTGTTTTGATTGTTTTAATTATGCAATCCATAATGTTGCAGTCAGTAATCTATTGAGCATTTGGCGAAAACCATCAGTATCATACGAATACCACTAATCTTTATAATATTGAACTCGATGCATAATTTTTTGCTTGATTTCCAGTTAATATAGTCACTATAGTCTATTCGAGGTTATATTCCTGAATGAAGTGATGTAAATCACTAGAGATAGAGATTAACATGCAACTAAGTTTCGCTTGATTAGGTAGTACATTTTGCACACTTCAAATAACAATTAGATCTATTAAATAAAATGAATCAGTGTTATGAAAAGCCAATTAGATTTAATGACTATCGATTGATTACCGCAACTCTTATCTTGAAAAAGTTAATATAATACTCATAACATATTATGATGATTAGGAGTATTTGAATTATAGTATGAACTAATAATCCCAAAAATAACGTCATCAGATCAAGAAGTACTAGATAACCACAAAAGAATGTACCGTATTTAGAATTCGAAATCAAGCATTCAACAAGTACAAAGGAATCATTAGTTCATTCAAACACCACATCCGCCACAGCTTAAATTGAAGTTTAAGTGTCTGTAATCGATTGTACGTTTTCTTAAGTTCATCCTGTGTCTGTCCGACACTGTATTGGATAAGGAATCTGTATTATCTAGAATGTGCTAATTAGCATTGGAATTAACAACCGAAATCGGAACAGACTTACTTGGTTCCTGGGATTGTTTACAACCTCCATGTCGGTTGTGTACCGAAACCACTATCTAGAATTTAAAGCACAGATTTCCCAACACTATCTTCCTCCGTGAAATAATGGTGGATCTTTATATCCCCAAGTTATGAATGATATGGCTTCATTTAAAACATATTTCTCACATTGACTCGAGTAAACATTAGAAGTGTTTTGTGATAAGGATAAACAGTAGTTGATATGAAATCATCCGAATTGTAATCAAAATCGAGCTCTTTTAGTGCTAGTGCTTAGCACTGAACAATTTTCCCACAAGAAACAAATGCATTATGAGGACAAATAATATTTAATAGAACATAAAGTTTTGATTCTTCTGAAATAGTTTCCTCGAATTTATTAAGAATGTCATTGCAGAGCAAAGGATCATTAGAAAAATCAGCATCCATCACAACTAAATCAGGTTTTTGATCATAATTATGTTCACTCAACATATTTACTTCAGATTTGCAAGAGATTTCGTCAGAAATAGGTGAATCATTAGGAAAAACCATATTTGGAAGAATAACATGAGAAATCTGATAAATCGTTTGGTTAGAAACTGTTGTCTCGCAAGAATTCTGAGTTTCACTTAACTCTGAACTGCTATATGACTCTACACTGTCTATTGCAATCGTTGATAAAGATAAATGATCATTATAAATACTCAAATTAATAGAATCAGAATTACAATACTTAATATTAGTTGCAGCAAGATGAACAGTAGTATTACAAACTGACTGAATATTTCCAACATCGCCACATTAAAAGCACATAGAATCACGAAATTGACATGAATTCAAAGAGTGGAACTTGTCACCGGACAAATACTGATCAAACTTGTGCCCATCTTCGTAAACTGAATCACAACTCCTCAATGAATTATCTGCATAACCTTGAGTATGCACTGGGTTGGGATGACATAATGCAGTGGAATTTTTTATATCCTCATGAGTCATTTTATGAGATCTTCCTCCTTTACTGAATTCGAAAATTGTATACTTAACATAGTCTAGCAGTAGATCCTTAAGAGTTGTATAAGGAAGCGAAATGGGCTTTTCCGGTAAAGCCAGAGTTTTTAATAAGCTATATGCTTCTTTTCCGATGAATGTGAGGAATTGTGCCACAACATTACCATCCCCCACCATCTTTCTTGGTCATATTCCAGATTTCGAACCTTTCAAATAGTCCTCAAAAGCTTCAGCAGTTGAATGAATATCTAACTGTTCCATCGCAGGCTCCATCGCAAACCCAATGTGATAAATAGGAGTATTTGAATTATAGTATGAACTAATAATCCCAAAAATAACGTAATCGGATCAAGAAGTACTAGATAACCACAAAAGAATGTACCGTATTTAGAATTCGAAATCAAGCATTCAACAAGTACAAAGGAATCATTAGTTCATTCAAACACCACACTTATTCAAATCACTTTTTGTTCAAATTACTTGAAGGCTATCGAAATACCAGAATTCACAGTAAAGTTGGGTTTAAAACTATACTCAATCAACTTTTAGCCTGATATGAAAAGTTTTTGTAATGAATAGATCGTTGTGTGGCTTTGTTCGTATATAAATATACATGTATAAATATACATTATCTCTAGAACCATTTGTCTTTCCTAGATTATTTGGACCAAGGGAAGTTTTTACATGGCATTAAAGCGCGAGTTTGTTCACTTCTATCAAACTGATCAAAAAGCAAACGAAATTCTCAATGCGATGAAAGAAGAAAGACACTTAGTAAAACATCCAGATGAACTATTTTTTCCTACACTAACTCATAGTCCACTGCTTGGTGCCCCTGGTGCTTGTAATGAAATTCATGTTGCTAATCATTCAGATCCACGGAAAATTTTCATAGCTCGTTATGTAACATGGTATCATGAAGGTTGCAAAAGTCCAAGGGTGCGCCGTATTGTTTGCATTATAGGAATAAACAACCTTCCGTACATAACGTCACGAGTTGAATTCTTCGCCAATAAGTTTCATGATGATTTTGAACCGCTTGCATATGACTGCACAGAGTATTATATCATGAAGAAAGTTTTAAACGAGATGACAAGTAAACAATTAGATCCAAGTTTCAATCTCACACATTACTCTATATTGCATTGTTCACAAAATCATATCTAATTTCACAAAACGCTTAATTGATCATCACAATCAACTTATGTTCACTTTCATTTGTTCATGTTGATTCATTTTAATAGTTCAGATTTTACTTATTTTTGAAAATGCTATTAATTGTAAAACCCCCCACAGAGAATAACAGTCTTATAAAATGATTATTGTAAGTGATAATTTTACTTGAAAACTGTTGTAAAAATATCACAGTTTTCTTTTCCCGTTTTTAACCTTTCACCGTTATCTACTAAAACAGTTTGGCATATGTCCTGTTTATCCACTTCTCTTGAGGCAACTGGATAATATCATTGAACATCATAAAAGTTGTGATTCGAACTCGAGTACTTTGAACCTGTGCTTGATAAATCAGTGGTTTTCTCTGATCATTTTATGAATACTTCATTTAATGAAACTTCTTGGAATAGCTAGAGAAAGTTGAATGATGGTGAATCACAAGAATAAAGTGAAAAGCATCTTATTTTATCGAATAAAATGTGATGCCTACGATTTCAACTGCACACATCAGGCAAGTCATTAGAACTTTATGAAATATACAATATTAAAGTTGTCAGGGTAGAAAATCTAAAAAATGAACTGAGCTTCTTCCGTTTTACGCTTACATATAATTTCAATCAATGTTAGGGATAGTAGTTGACATTTAAATTTTAAAGAAATTGAGCAGTCAATGATTGATTTCAAAGAGGAACGTGACATATTCATAAAGAACACTTCAAAATAGTATTCTACATATCAGCTAAATTCTAACACTGATTAAAGTATTACAACTATAATAAACGAGAGTGAACATTGCACTACTTACTTACGCCTGTTACTCTCAATGGAGTATAGATGGCTCATCAGCATTTTACAACCCAATATGTTCTGGGCCATCATTTCCAGTTCTATTCAATTTTTGTTCATTCTTCTCATGTCTATCTCCACTTCTCTGCGTAATGTGTTCTTTGGTCTTCCTCTCCTTCTTTAGCATTGAGGATTCCATGTGAGTGCTTGTCTTGTGACACAATTGGGTGCTTTCCTCAATGCGTGTCCTATCCACTTCCAGCGCTTCTTTCTGATTTCCCACTCCGCTGAGATCCGGTTTGTGCTCTCCCACAGTAGGTTGATGTTGCTGAGTGTTTGGCCAACGGATCCGAAGTACTTCTCGTAGACAATTGTTGATAAACACCTGTATCTTGTGGGTGACGGCTTCCATGGTTCTCCACGTTTCCATCCCATACAGTAGAACTGTCTCGACATTTATATTGAAAATTCTGACCTTGTTGTTAGTTGGTGCTTGGCGAGGGGCTCTTGTTCAATCTATATTTTGGTTAGTGTGGCTGGCGCGGGCGTGGCAGAGACGCTCAGGATATGACTTGTAGCACAGTGCTATCAGGGGGCGGCTTGCTTGCTGCACAGTGAGGGTTTAGGGGGGGTCTGAAGCAATTTGACGGATGGAAGGCTGATTGTGGGTGGCGAGTGGGGGTTCTATGATCTTGGGGGGAGGGGTCCTGTGGGGTGTGAGAAGGGTGGGCAGTAACAGTATTGTAGGGTAGGTGTCTGTGGTGGTGTTTGTAGGATGCTGCACATGACTAGTGGAACTCAGTTGGAGGGGAAGTGGGATGTGGTGATTACTGTGGTATCATTGGGAGGGGTGGGTTTTGACCTGGTTGTGGAGAGCGACATGCTCATGGTGGCATCCCTTTGGTTTGACCGAGCATAGGTTATCTCACTTGGGCAGGGACTCTGTGTTTGGTTTCTTGAGTTATACAGTCAGATGGTAGCTCAACCGTTTACAATTGTTACGTGGGGTAGGGTGGGGAGTGGACTTAATTCGCACGGTTGGATGCTTTGGGAGAGGGGTTTGGGTGGTTCTTGCTAGATTGAGTGTCATCTTCCGGGGAGGGGGGTGGTTAGGTGGTGTTAGTTGTGGTGGGCGAGGTGTATGTTTTTTTGTGTTTGGTTGTGTAGGAGGTCAGATGTTTAGTGGACGTTACGGTGGTGTTCTTGATATTTTAAGTAATGCATTGTTAGTTGTATTTATACTTTAACTAAGGTTTTGTACACCTTCTAAGATGTGATACGGTATGAAAGGTGGTTAATGTTCCTATTGTTATGTTGGTTATGTAAATAATATATCATATACTTGGTCTTTTGGACTGAATCCGATCGTTATTCAATGGTTACCCGAACATTGCTAATAAATTGAATGTATATCAGTACAGATTATATTGATTACAATTAGACTACGGAGTTTCTTACTTCAAAGCCTAATCTTATGCTTTACCTGATGTCACAAAGTATACAGGACAGTGTCGAAATGAAAATCAAATAAAACAATAGCGCAAGCACAATATTACTTGTATAGGTATCTTACAAAATACAGTGAGAATCACTAAGCTTAATAGTTGATTAGTTAGCAACCAACACATGTTCTGAGTTATGCTGAATAAGTTAGAGCTAATGATAATATTTAATTGACCAGACTAAAATAACAAATGTAAGTGAATACACATGATCAGAAAGAATTCCTCAATTGTATATACTGTATATTGGAATACATTTTAAATGGTTTCAGAATTGCTTACTCATACATAAATGAAACTCAATATAGTTCATACTAATGATAAGCTTAGAGTCAATTAATTCAAATAGCTATGACATAATAGCTGTTCTATTCATAAACAATTAAATTAAGTAGCTACAAAAAGAACACAGGAAACTGAGCTACATCAAATTACTCCGCCAACTCCCTGAATTTTGAATAGGTCTTGAAGGGTGATCTGAAAAGTTTGTGTTGGTCAAACTGATATTATACAGTTAGGGGATGTTATGATTGTTGAGCAGGTCACAATGAGTTCTCTAGGTACATGAAGACAAGTTTTTAAAAACATGTTTCATCTCAAACACTGACGTTACACCAATTAAATTGGAAATACACGCTTACGAATACCACATGCAAACGTAAGTTCACCAGTACACTAGTCATGTGCCTTTATCAAACATTATTACTTCAATAAATTATTTCATCTCCTAGTATGCTATAAATGCTGGTTATCACAATTCGGACACAAACTACCTCTATTGTACACTTTATACCACTTCGAAAACGTCAGAAACGTGTAAACTAAAATTTGTTTATCATAAACAATTTTTTTCAATATTACAAATATGTTATTTTTATTAAAAATAATCAATTCAATGTTCAATTTATTGGAAGTTATCAGGTCATACCATATACATAAGATCTACAAATATGTTTTAAAATAAACTTTCTGAACACATCTACTAATTAGTTCATTATTTACATTATTTAAACTGAACTAATTAGTATATTTGTTCAGAAATTTTACTTTTAAAACATATTTGTTGATGTGATTGGCATGGTGTAACTGAAATTCTTGGTCGATGTAAAGGTGTTACAATAATGTTGAGGTATTTTATACACATAAATATAAAGAAGATTAGGTTATGTTTTAAAGAATTGAAAATGAGTTTATTCAGAGCTAATTGGATTTATTTAGATGGACTAACTATTCTAGCTGGTGATGAAAATGACAAACAGCTGCAAGTTAAGAGATTAGATCAGGCGTATAAACTGTTAGAATTTGTGTTCCTGTAATGTCAATACGATTACCAGTAATACAAAATCATACATCATGTCAAGAGGATAATCTATTAGCCGTCTGTGAAGAGATTCTAATGAATTCCTGGAATACAATGCTCACGCTGACTTTATCTAAAAAGAAGCTAAAATTGTGACGAATAAACCGTCTACATAGAGTAGAGTTCTAATTTGAAGGGTTGTTCGCGAAGAGCGGTGATATGTATATTTCATTATCTTTGGTGTGTAGCCTTCACTAAGAGTTTTAGTGAAAAGCCGTGAATAGTGAAGTCCGACTTGAAGTAGTTACTCATCAAAGACGATGATATCTAGTCGCACAATATCGCAAAGTGATTGAAGTAAAACACGTACACCATGATATTGCTGCTCAGTGATCTGGACGTTGAGGATTGGCGTGCAAGACTGAATGCTTTGTGCTCGATCCTCGACAGCATCGTGGGTTCTCACTGCTGAGGAGTTCAATACGAGAAGTCTATCCAATCCTTTCTTATTATCAATGGTGGTGTGATTGAGATTAATTGGTCATTTAAATTATGAAAATCTACTAAACATCTTTCAAGTTTTGCATTTAAATCTTAAATTCACAGGAAGCATATATATATGATATAAACAATACTCCCATAAATAATATGTTGGTCAATTGGCCAGTTATTAAACTATTATTGAGTAGTAAGATTTGAAATGTCAGTGGATTATAGTTCGTTTGAAACAGATGTATTTGTACTTTTATTGCCAAGGCAAATTTATTTTATCTTTTGTTGGAATAAAGTTTTCCATGAACAAAACAATTTATTTGTATAAACGAAATAGTCTTACTCAAACTCAACCTGTTATCAAAATGGAAGTAAACACTGAGTTTTTATCAAGCAAAACAAAAATCTCCAAAAATCATAAGAATTTTCTTTAATGTAAAATGAATAAATCAAAGGACCTGTGTTCTCTTTGCAAGTATGATGTTCAGCACTAGTAGTTCTGTTTTTCTATTACTTGAGGCTGATCAGTGATGTTTAATTAAGTGACATACTTCCACGGGATTACATGGATGCTTACTTTAAATAAGATGAAATGTTGGTGATTTTGTTGGGATCTGAAATATCATTCAAGTACCATCCATCAGTTTGGGTTTTTAATACAATAGCTTCGATTGAGATACATAACATAATGTAAAATGATAAGGCAAACGTGACAATATGAGTAACCGTCAACCGATTTTAACAAAATTAAGAGCAACACTAGCATTACTGAATTTAATAATCACGATACTAATGGCGAATCAGTGATGCACACAGATTACCACTCAATCAACTTTTATTAGATAATATTTAACAAACTACTCATTATTAATTAAACATTCATGACCCTCACACTTTATGCTTCACGTCTTCTTAGTGTGAAATTCAAGCTAGTAATTCGGTGATCATTGACGTAGAAAGTCGCATGAATGAGAGTCAACCAATGTTGCAACAGCTTAGATAAGCACAGTGATAGGAAATCAACGGAATAATGAACGTTGGATGGGGAATATTAGATCAGTCGGAAATGTTATTGCACAAGAATAGATTCAAGAATTACAAGCATGAAATGATACTCATCTAAGGATTTCAAAATATATTAAGAATAAATTCAACCTTACTACTGAGACCGAATTTTGACCATGTCACCAATCGGTTATTGTGCAACTCCAAACGTAACTCAGACTGTTAGGCCAATATTAG